CACGTAAACATATATATTTTAAAATGATTATTAAACGAGGAAAAAATTTTAATGATAATATGTCTCAAGGGTGCACCACAGCCCATTTCTTATACTGCAACCTGAACGCACCGCGATCGTCGCCTCGGCCGCCGGGCATGGAGCGATGAAAGGAGAACGGTGGGAGTTACCTACTGAATCTCGTCCGGGATGTGCAAATCTTGCCCAGCTCTGGTTTAAACGATTAGACATTGCCTTAGAAACTGCAAATATTCATAATCAAGTGCAACAGGTTGCAAATATAGCACTCACCTTAATATCTGCACATGGTGCTTCACAATGATTGCCATACGATGCTCGGAAGTCGTTCTTGGATTACTTTGCACACTCTTCACGAGATTTTCCACTCGCGCCATCACAATCTCGATTTGGCCACATACATGAGCCACGGACATGGCAGCCAAACAACATACCGCCGTGGTGACGTTGAACATTACAATTCCGGAGAAGCATTGTGCGCAAAAGACAAACACGTAAGACGGCACGAAGTGTAGATCGAAAATAATGTCGAAACCGGGATATGGTACCGGACCGATGGTGACATTCTGTTCGCCTTCGGGCCTTTGTGACAAGAACGGCATCACGATGTGATAAGACAAACCTCCGCAATACATGAACGCTACACAGAATTTTGATAGCACGTGTCCTTTCGTTGACTCTTTTATCATGATCATTCGGTAGTCCTTTTGCTGAACCGCACGCCAATCGATACTCAAAACGTGAATGCACCGTCGAATATTTTTATGACGAATCACTAGAAACAAGTATTTTAGCATCGAAGTAAGCACATAGCCGAGTGGGCCCAGCATCTTCATCTTATCATTCATCACGGTCCGATCCGAGAGAGTGAAGATGGCCATAGGTATCAAAAGAAAACTGAGCGCGGACCAACACAATGCGAAAGAAATCGTTGCTAGGATCTTCTCGAACCTCGAAGTATCCGGAAACACCAACGGCCAGATCCCGAGGACTCGCAATATCCATTTGCTCCATACTAACGCGTCGACAATGTCCTTCTCGTAATTTTCATTCGACCAAGGAGTAGGAATGATTTTGGCCATACTACCGTCTCAAATGTGCAACAATAACTGCTGTGCGCTGTCGAGCGTACTAACGCTCAATAAAGAATCGCGCATGATCATAGCAAATAGTTTGAAGCGGAAAGGGAAAACGGTGACATATGCCGTGCACATATGCCGTGCAAAAATCGATTTCTAAGGGAAGAATTACTACAGTTGTATGCTATCATTGTATCCGCAAGGATTGTTCTTCGATGATATGTAAAACCGACCATGTGTGATTAGATAGTATGTGTGGGTGTATATTTTTCACGTATTTCCATATTTCTCAGGTGACTGCTAGAATTTTCTTTTAGAATCAAATAATGTATGTATATGAAATAGTAAGATACAGAAGAGTAATAATGCATGTCTCAATAAAGATATATCTACAAACTGACTGATCTACAAACTCTTTTGGATATTTTTGGAGTTTTTCACTTTTGTAAACTGAGAGTGTAAAAAAATTTGAATCAAGAATATCTCTTTACTTCTTATTAATTCTGAGATTTATTATTAATCTTTAATCTGATGTATATAGTTACCATTTGTGCCTCAAATAATTTATTTAACATGCGTATGTATTATAATATTAATTTATAATATTAATACACTTTTATTTTTATTGTAAATTAATTTTTCATCATGTAATGATCTGAATTATTGAATATGCGTTCATCAATAATTTGCATGTATCAAACGGCAGTCAGAAGTAAATTCAAATACGCGACTGATGTTTTTAAAACCTATAAGACGCAATATGAAAAAATATTATTGCATTAACATTTGAATGTATTGGCCATATGTTCAAGTTAACTGCTAACTAATTATTTGTTCTACAAAACATAATACATCAATTTCACATAAACATAAGTAAAACTAAATTAAACATAAACATAAATTTCACTTTCATCTTCAATGTGAAAACGTATTGTATACTTACATTGCCAAAATTAGCGAAAGAGAGACTTATCATTTTTCCAGCGGTGATCTGTACCGGATGACGGGACATTGCGATTATTAACATGAGATCAAGAGCTGCTTTTCCTGGCAAATTGTACCACTCAATCGTGTATGTTGTATACCCAACCTTGGAGCACTATATGTTCAATTTTACATATTTACAAAGTAAGCGTATTGATTGCAAACAATATTCTTAAAAAGTTTTTTTCAGATTCCATGAAAAAATTAAGACAAAACTTAAAAATAAGCACCTGTTCCGTGAGCAGCTCACTGATGTAACAGAATATGAAAATATTGAAGACAAACGAAAGAAATAGAAAAAAATACGTAAATATTGCTATATTGTCGCTGTTATTCCACTCCTGCGAATATTAAGTAATATTTGTTCATAATATATGCGCTATCTCTCGAAAGAAATAACGTATAGGAGACATTGCACAATTTTGTATTACTCTCTGTTCGGAATATATGTAATATTTCGTTACCGTAATCAACGAATATTCTACTAGACACATTATTAATGTCGTCCCCACCATCTCAATCAGACATATCTCGCGCAAAGTATCCTCGATGCTGGCTGAAAATCTATAAAGTTTTAGCCTAGTTTCCATCAAATATAATGTATTACACACGGACTTAACTTGAATGTTCATTGTCTTAAAATATCCCGAACGGATTTTCAAGTGTTTTATACTTCTGGCAATACGTAATGTATTCCAGTGCTAACCAGTGCTCCAGTGCTATTTAGCTCGAAATATCTCGCGTATCTCTCGTAATATCTTTCGCGGCAAGTTGCAACAAGTAGCAAGGTAAGGTACTCACTTCAACGCTCGCACATGATGTTGTACGATAATTGCCATGCACTGCTCGAATTTTATGGAACTGCACTGTTCTTCATTCTTCACGAGATTCTCCATACGATCTATCACGATGTCCATTTGACCACAGGCGTGAGCTACGAACATGGCTGCCAAGCAGCAAACCGAAGTGGTGATGTTGAACATGACGACACCAGTGAAACATTGCAGACAGAAAGCGAAAACGTAAATCGGCATGACTTGCAGATTGAAGAGGATGTCGAAGCCAAGGTAAGCCATCGGTCGGATGGTAATATTCAGCTCGTTTTCAGGCGTTTGCGACAGGAACGGCATTACTGTATTGTAAGATAAACCGCCGCAATACATGAACATTATGCAAAACTTGGAGAGTACATGGCCCTTCGCCGCGTCCCTTATCATGATATCCCGATGATATCCTTCCTGGACTACACGCCAGTCGGCGCTAAGGACTTGGACACATCCACGGATACTTTTGTGACGTATCACTAAGAAGAGATACTTCAGCATCGAAAAGAACACGTAACCTAACGGACCCAGCATCTTCATCTTTTCGCTCATGATACTACGATTCGAGAAGGTGTATATGCTCGTAAGTACCAACAGTAAACTGAGCACAGTCCAGCACAATGCAAACGAAAATATCGCCAGGATCTTCTCGATCCTCGTGGTATTTGGATACACTAACGGCCAAATACCGATGACTCGTAGTAACCATCGGTTCCACATCAACGTGTCTTCCACGTCCTTCTCGTGGCTCACATTAGACCACATTGAGATTTTGGCCATGTTACTGTATGAAAGGCGCGCGAGCAACTGAGTGCATCTCATCGATTACAATGACGGTAGAAAATTTGCGCATGACTGGTTTACCTCTGACAACAGGCGGTAAAGAAAGAAGAAGAGTATACGCTCATGAAAAATCGATCTTGTCAGGAGAATGTGTGACTTCAGTTCTATGTTACTACTTTTGCAAAGAGGATTATCATACTATCAGACAGAAGTGATAGAGTTGTTGCGCATTTCAAGATTTTCTGATCGGTCACTGCGGGATAAGGTGTAATGTGACGAGCGAGTGAAAAATAGAACAAAAGTTACGACAATATCTCGGTTGCTTCTATCGTAAAAGAGATACCTAAGAATTTTTCATTTGGATAATACAATCATGTTATGCATGTTACATTTGGTCATGCTTAGCGAAAGAATGACGGAGAATGTCAAGTACAATTATAATGTATAAATGCTATTTTATCATTGAAATACATATTACTCTTTATTAACAACTTTTATAGCATTTACTGCAATAAAAATATATATAGCAAATTTCTCAAATAATAAAGGCTATATATATATATGATGGAAAGTGTAATAATCCTATTCCGTAACTGTCCGTAGTAAATTTAAATATACTACAGACGTTTTAAGTACCTGTAAAAGTGATCAGAATCTCATAGAGTTATACATTTATAAAATTATAAAAAATGGTTATTTGCTAAAAAAAAAAATACTTTTTTTTTAAATGGTATACATATTGTATTAAAGAACCAGGAAATAAATTTTTCGTTTAACAATTTTTAAAATTTTTACTATATTAGTGCAAATAAATTCGGTACCTTTTTTTGGAGCAATTAAGTCTTTATTTAGACAAACATAAACATATCAATCTGCGAAATATTCGCCATTATTTTCGATTACTTTGCCCCTCTATCGGGCAACTGGCAAATCCCTTCTCGAAAAAAGGACGGTGATTTTGAGTCGATAAAATCATCGATACCTTTTCGAACGTCTTCTGTGTATTTGAAGCATATATTCGCCAGAAAGTTTTACAGCAATTGGAATAAGTGGTAGTCCGAAGGAGCTAGGTTCGGAATTGCTGAATACGCCGCATGAGGGAGAACTGCACAGCCTAATGAATAAATTGTATCCTCCATCTCTTTTGCGACATGCAATTGAGCATTATTGTGCTGCAAAATGATTTGACGTGTTCCATGGTCAATAAATGGTCTTTCCTTTCCATTTCATCGTTCAAACGAACGAATTGTTGATAATAGTCCGCAATAATTGTTTAAATAGGCTGCAGCAACTTGTAATGTATAATATCATGCCCTTTATATCCCACCAAATAGATAAAATTTTTTTGACGTGAATATTGGGTCTCGCGATCAATGTTAATGATTGACTAAGATAAACCCACGATTTTTTGCGTTTTGGGTATAAAATAAAAGTATGTTGTCGTATAAAACCCAGTTTTTATCACCAATCACGATTTTGTGTATAAGAAAAAGTTTTTTCTCTTGTACCTCGTTAGCAAGGATATCGCCGTATCGTACCTTCTCTACTTGTTCTCTGAGCTGAGTATGTGCGGAATCCATCGGCCAAGACTTTGAATTTTTCTTAGCTTATGTAAACGAACGAAAATTGATTATCACGTTACTCGTAGTAATGCAAGCTCTTCTTGCGCCTGAGCAGGATTTTCATCTAACAGTTCCTTGTCTTTATATTTTTTCGGCACACCGAAACGTTTTTCATTGTCAAAGCAGAAATCACCACTTCGAAACTTATGATACGTAGGTTGCTGGAAAAGTTTCTGCAAACGATATAAAAAAAAGCATATAAAATCCTGTAAATAGCTTTATTGTTTTTCAAAGTATTCGCCTTTAAGATCGATATACTTTTGCATACGCTCGAACCAATTTTCGAAGCATTTTTTCCACTCTGAGACTATAATCTCAGAAATCAGTATTCGAAATGCTTCAACAGCTGCTTCAGGTGACACAAATCGCTCACCACGCATCTTATGTTTGATGTTTGGGAACAAAAAGAAGTCATTAGGACACATTGTCCGTATTCACCTGATTTATCACCTGATGACTTTTTTTCATCAATTCGACATTTTACATGACATTTAACACGAGCCTATTTTTGAGCTTCAGTCAAATTGTGTAGGATCCAACGACTGCAAAGTTTCCGTACGTTCAAATGATTATGCAAAATCGTATTGCTTTCATATCATGGCCAAGGATGCCAAGGAATCTTGCGGTATGTCACATGCCGATCTCGCTCAATTATTTCACGTACAGCATCAACATTAATGGTAACAACAGACGTGGATGGACGACCTTCACGAAATTTGTCACTAAGAAATGTGCGTCCACGCTGGAATTCAACAAACCAATTATAAACAGTCCTATTGGATGGTGCTTCATCCCCAAAAGCCAAATGAAGTCGATCGATGCATTGTTTATGAGTTAGACTACATTTGTAATCGTAAAAAATCATTGCCCGAAAATTTTTTCACGCGAAATTTCCATTTTCTCACAAAATAACTTCTTTTAAAATACTGTGCAAACAAAATTAGTTGGCTGGGTATAAAATGTTAACTGAATTATAGGTTAGAAACGTCTAATTTTACGGATATGATAGTAGCAGAACATTGACGCCATTGGAAGTACTAGATTGTAGAAACTTTTACAGCAGCCTACGTACCACTTTTTGTAGGTTTTATGCGTTACAACATCTTTCTCCAAAGGTGAGCAAATCATATTTGCAGCATCAGCAGCATTTTTTTTAATAGGAAAGCAAAAAGAATGCAATATTTGATATGCTGTTTATCGGACAACATCGTGTTCGATACTGTTTTGTAAAGTTGTGATGTCCGCTTCGCCAAGCTATTAAGATTGGCGCTTTAAAATGCGCTAAACAACGGGAAGATATTTGAATTTAAACTGAAGTTATAATTGATTAAATGTAAAGGCACCGAATTTATTTGCGCACCTAATATATATGATAATATAAGAAACTCACAACTCCGAAGGTATTTATGGATAAATCGACGAATTTGCCAGCTGTAAGTTTGGGTGGGTAATGCGACATCGTAATGATCATTACAAGATTGATAGCTTTATTTCCAGATAAATCATACCAGTTGACACCATATGCAGCTAAACCAATTTTGGTGTACTGTCGAAAAAAAATTAAAGCTGTACATATCGATGTCATTTATAACACGTGCAAAACTAAGATCATATTAAATTTGCATTTAATCATGTATGGACGTTGTAAACTAATGTTGTCACGTTTTTATACGCGCATCTCTTAATATAACTACATAAAATATTGAAAAATTTTTCTACATATATATGAATGTGAATATAGTAGAATTTATTATACTTTAAATTCAAATTTTTTATATTGCAGGATTAGAATAAATCGACAAATGCAATATCATAAAAATCGAAAATTGTGAAGATTGTGTTTATTCTCATCAAGGATACCTGTTCCATAAGGATTTCGCCGATATAACAAAATATCAGAACGTTGAACGAAAAGGATACCAACAGAATGCAATACGTTAAGATCGCTACGGCGTTGCTATTTTCCCATTCCTGAGAAGGCAAGAAACATGTGACATCTCAAAGTTAAAAAATACAAATTTATCTAGTGAAAGGTAAGATAATAGCTCGAGGAACCGCTAGAAGACTATCTTGTTATCGTAACAACAAATAATTATCATATCCTCTTTACCGTCAAGCAATAATACTCGAGCAAGCATATGATCATAGTGGAAGTCATCAATTCCATTAAAAATATTTCACGTAGTACTTCTTCCACGTCTTCTGAAAATCTAAAAACGTGTCATTTATCCGCGCCGGAATTTCACAATTGGTACCGTCGTCATCTATCCGAATCACTTTTCCCATTTTTCCACTCACCTCAGTATTCGCACATGATGCCTCACTATTATGCTCAAACGGTTGTCCACGGTTGTATCCTTGTTCTTGTTTCCCTCGACCAGGTCATCCAACAGCGTCATCAATATTTGCACTTGCCCGCACGCGTGTGTCACGAAGATCGCGGCCAAACTGCATGCCGCCGTGGTGATGTTGTACGTGATCAGCGAGTACAGACAATGAATGCAAAACACGATTTCATAAGTGGGACTGGTCTCGGGATCGAAGAATATATCGTAGCCGGGATAGGTGTGCGGCCTGCTGATGATAGTGCCGTTGATCTTTATTCTGGAAGATAATGGCATGATCGTGGTGTAAGACAATCCGCCAGTGTAGAGAAAAAGCGCACATAGTGAAGTGAGCCTGCGACCCGTAAAAGCGTTCTTCAACATGATCTCGCGATGATCCTTATCCTGCACAATCCGCCAGTCATCCTCCACATGATGAATAAACTTCCCGAAAGATGCGGCACGCACTCCGAGGTAGCAATATTTAATCGTGGTGGTCAAGCAGAACCCGACTGGGCCGATGAGCTTGATTCTGATGTTAATGTCCTTGGCGCGAAATACAGTGTATATACCGGACGGTATCAGGACGAAGCATAGAGCGGCTAAGCATATGATGAACAGGATTACCGAAATAAACTTGTCGTACCGCGATGCTTGGCCATAGATCGGGTGCCAGATGCCGATCGGTTTCAGGACCCATCGGCACAGTTGCATGGTAAAGTGCACGTCATTTTCATAATGCGTATTGCGCATCTGCCGTGCCCGTTCTGAATGTCGGGATCGATTGTGCATACTGCCGCTCGTGGTGTGTAACGTTGACTGAAACACGCGACCGGTTGTCCCGACGACATACGCGAGCGCGACGCAAGCGCGAGGAGTAATGATTCTAACATTGCGTGTAGATGCGTGTCCTTGTGTCTCTATAATGTATGACTAAGCGTGCATACGCGACGGATTGACTGTCCCCCAGTCATCACTTGTCCGAGGGTTCAGTCAATGATGTTCAAATGCAAAGGGGTTGAAAGTACATGACGAGTTTCAACATAGTTGCACTTTTATATTGCGTAACATTGCTGTCTTTGAAGTGAGTAACGCATCGTTGAAATTTCACTATTTATTAAAATAGCGTCTGATAATTAATAATATACATTCAATAAAATATAAATATTCTTCTTCGTCATTATGTCTTACGTGAAACACATAACAGCATATTTTTAATCATTATAATATTGTGTATTGTAATTGTGAGAAAATTGTGTTTCTTTTTCTCGACAGATTTGATTAAATTAGTAGTGATTCGATTAATATTAATTTTATAATTTTTGTTAAGCAATTATTATTTGTTTGTATATTTCATGAATGATGAAGTGAGAAACATTTAATCGACAATATTGTTTTATTATTAACTTAGGTACTTTACATTGATTAGAAACTACTATAAAAAATATCGAATTTCTATTCTGTAACTGTTCGAAGTAAATTCAAATATACTACGGACGTTTTAAGTACCTGCAAGTGATATAAAATTTTAAGAATATGAATTTAATAATACGTAACATAAATATAAAATATTCTTTTCAATATTGGAAATATAAATATTAAGGAAGAAAATATTAAGGAAGAAAAAGTATAATACGTATGCAGAAATAATATAAACGTTAAAAACAGTTATCTGTGATACTCACGACGCCAAAAGTATTGAGAGATAAATCGCAGAATTTGCCAGCCGTAAGTTTTGGTGGATAGTGTGATATCATAATAATCATTACAAGAACGAGAGCTTTATGTCCAGGTAAATCGTACCAATTAATTTCATACGCGGCTGAACCAATTTTGCTATACTAATAAAAACATTTATTAATACAATATTATATGATATGCACTAATATTCATTATGACGTTCGAAATTATCGTTAAATTCGATAATACAATTATACTCATAAAAATTGTGGAATATATAAAAGTAAAACTGATTTCTTTTGCTTTTTATTATAATTGCGAAAGAATAAATATGAAATAAAGGCAGTTTTATAAAAAATGTGAAGGTATATGTGTGTAGTTATTTACTGTTACAAATATTATATAAAATATTATATAAAATATACCTCTTCCACCAAAAGCTCGCCAATATAACAAAATATTAGAATATTGAAAGTTAAGGATACCAATAAAATGAAGTATGTAACAATGGCAATGGTGTCGCTATTTTTCCATTCCTGAGAAAATAAATATGGCTATTTTTAATAAATATTTGCAATTTTTTTAATGTAGAAAAAGAAAGAACTTTTACTGCACTACAACCATTCACAATCTAATAGAACAAGAAGTTATAAAACAAAGAGTACATAAAAAATCAATTTAACTTCATAGAAAATTTTAACATTACAGCGCGCGCGCCGCGCGCAATCGATATTTCTCTCACCATCATACAATAGTACTCGAGCAAACATATGATCAAAGTTGCAGCTACCAGTTCCATTAAGCATATTTCGCGCAACACTTCTTCCACGTCAGCTGTAAATCTAGAAACGCCCCATGTCTACCGCGAAATTTAACCCCTTATAGCCCATAGTTAATCCAGTAGAGATATTATCTAGGTAACATATGGAATCTTATAGTATCGTAATAAAGAACAATTTCTCAATAAAGATGTTGAAAAATTATTCTATAATAAAATAATTGTTCAATCAATTTACTTGTAAAATAATTTTCCGTAAAATCTGACAGCGCCATTGAATTTTACAGGAAAAATTACTACGATAACATGTATTACATGTATTACATGTATGTATGCCAACTAGTCTCTGTTTGTTATAAAAAATTAATTATTGTTTTTTATTGTTACATCTATCACATTGCTAACTCAGCAAAAATATTATCTGAATGTTATATGGAATCTTAGTATGGTAAAAAGAACAATTCTTCCATAAAAAGTTGAAAAAATTTATTTTTACACATTAGTTGAACAAAATTATTCAACTAATTAAGTTGCAAAATAATTTTTCATGAGATCTGATAGTATCCCGTTTATTTTCAATCAATTGTTTTTCCAGATCGTGAGAGACAAGGGGACTCACATGAAGAAAATACTCCGTTTTATGTCAGTTCTCTAAATCTAATCACATACATGTAATACATGTCTTTGTAATAATTTTTTACGTAAAATCGAATGGCGCTGTCAAATTTTACGAAAAATTATTTTGAAACTTAATTGTTTAAACAATTTTGTTATAAACAAATAATTTTTTTAACTTTTTTATTGAGAAATTGTTCTTTTCATGATACTTTCATGGTACTTTTCATAAGATAAGATTCCATATATTATTTCTGCTGGATTAGCTATGGGCTATAATGGGTTAAACACCATACAAAACTATCTTCGCTTTTGTTTTTTGTCATTTTCATCTCGCACCTCAGCACTCGTACATGATGCCTTGCTATCACTTTCAGACGTTTTTCCACAGTAGTATTCTCGTCGCTTCTCTTTCCATCGACCAGATCATCCAACAACGTCGTTAATATTTGTACTTGCCCGCACGCGTGAGTTGCGAAAATCGCGGCCAAGCTACACGCTGCCGACGTGATGCTATATTGGATAAGAGAGCACAGGCAGTGTATGCAAAAGACGATTTCGTAAGCGGGACTAGCCTGGGAATCGAAGTACTGGTCGTACCCAGGATACACTAGTCGTCTGATCGTGAAGCTGTCGTTCATCTTTATTTTCGCAGATAGCGGCATGATGGTATGATAGGATAACCCGCCGGTGTAAAGGAAAAGCACGCACAGTGTGGTGAGTTTGCGACTGATCAAAACATTTTTTAGCATCATCTTGCGGTGATTCTCATGCCGTACGACACGCCAATCGTCTTCGACGTGCTCAATGCACCTGCCGATCGCCGTGCCGCGCGCACCGAGGAAGCAATACTTGACCGCGGAAGTCAGACAGAAACCGATGGGACCGAAGAGTTTTACCTTCACGTAAATATCCTTCTCGCGGAGGACATATGGACCGGAAGGCACGAGCACAAAGCACAGAATAGAAACACACATGAAGATGAGTGTGGTCGAGAACAACTTCTCGTTTTGCGATGAGTGGCTGTAGACAAAGTGCCAGATGCCAATTGGTTTCAGGATCCAACGGCACAGCTGCATAGTATAGTGTATGTCGTTTTTGTGGTGTACATTGTGGATCTGCTGAATCCGTTCTGGATGTCGGGATCGATTGTGCATACTGCCGCTCGTGGTGTGCAACGCCGACTGAAACACGCGACCGGTTGTCCCGACAACGTTCGCGACGCAAGCGCGGGGAATAATGATTCCAGGATTGCGTGTAGGTGCGTTTCATATCTATGTCTTTACAATGTGTGATCAACGTTTCAGTCGTGCATATGCAACGAACTGACTTTCCCTCAATCATTACTTGTTCAAGGATTCAGTCAATGACGTACAAATGCGAAGGAATCGAAAGTTGATGACGAGTTCTAACATAGTTGCATGTGTATATTGCATAATACTGGTGTTTCTGGAGTGCGTAATGTATCGTTAGAACCATGACTTTTTCTAAAGTAATGTGTGATAATTTTAATAGTATATATATACACACACACATATATATATACATATATACATATATATATACATATATATATATATATATATATATATATATATATATATACTGTTAAAATTATCATACGTTATTTTATTTATATATATAAATATATATAAGAGATATAAAAATAGAAGATATAAATATTCTTCTTGCACTGTGTCTTACGACACATATGATAGCATGTTTTTAATCATTATAATATTATACATTTTAATTTTGTTAATATATGTTCCTTTTCTTAGGTCTGATTAAATTAGCGCGATGACTCAATTAAAATTTTATAATTTCTGTTAAACAATATTATTTTTATGACTGGTGAGAAACATTTGATCGACGATATGTGTTGTTGTATTATTAACGTCTGCACTGTATGTTTGTTGGAATAAAAATATATCTATTGCAACTTGTTAGCACTACTATAAAATAAACTACTATAAAATAAATGAGATTTTTATTCCGTAACTGTTCGAAGTAAATTTAAATATACTACGGACGATTTAAGTACCTAGAAGTTTTAGAAATACGAACTTAATAATACATAATATGAAACGTGCTATGCAATATTAAAAATATGAAAAAGTAAATGAGAAAAAAAATATATATTACGTATGCAGAAATAATTTAGTGGTTAAAACAGTTATTTATGGTACTTACAGAACTGAAAGTATTGAGGGATAATTCGAAGAACTTGCCAGCCGTAAGTTTCGGTGGATAGTGTGATATCGTAATAATCATTACGAGAACGAAAGCTTTATGTCCAGGTAAATCGTACCAATTAACTTCATATGCGGCTGAACCAATTTTGCTGTACTAATAAAAATTTTTATTAATACAAATATTATGTGATGTGCATCAGTATTCATTATAATGTTCAAGATTGTCTTTAAATTTTATAACACAATTATGCTCATGAAAATTGTAGAATATATAGTAGTAAAATTGATTTCTTTTGCTTTTTATTATAATTCTGAGAGAATAAGTATATAATGGTTAAAGGCATTTTTCTAAAAGCAGTTTTATAAAACGTGTGTACGTATTATTCTTTATTGTTACAAATTTATAAAATACCTCTTCCACTAAGAGTTCGCCGATGTAACAAAATATCAAAATATTGAACGTTATGGCTACCAACGAAATGAAGTAAATGAAAATAGCAATAGTGTCACTATTTTTCCATTCCTGAGAAAATAAATGTATAACTAGATATTTGTAATTTATTAAAAGTAGAAAAAGTAACATTTATTGGACTACAACTATCACAATTTAATAAAACGAGAACTTATACAATGAAGGGCACATTAAAAATCCATTTTACTTCAAAGAAAATTCTAACATCATTATTGACAGAGATTACGGTATTTCCCTTACCATCATACAATAGTATTCGAGCAAACACATAATCAAGGTTGCAGCTACTAGTTCCATTAAGCATATCTCGCGCAACACTTTCTCCACATTGGCTGTAAATCTAGAAACGTCCGATGTCTGTCTACCGTGAAATTTATAGATCACACAAAACCACCGTCACTTTCGTTTCTTGAAACATCTCACCTCAGCACTCGCACATGATGCCTCGCTATCACCTTCAAGCGTTTTTCCACAGTGGTGTTCTCGTCGCTTCTCTTTCCATCAACTAAGTCATCCAACAATGTTGTCAATATCTGCACTTGCCCGCACGCATGAGTTGCGAAAATCGCAGCTAAGCTACACGCTGACGTCGTGATGCTGTATTGGATAAGAGAGCACAAGCAGTGTATACAGAAGACGATCTCATAAGCGGGACTAGCCTGGGAATCGAAGTACTGGTCGTACCCAGGATACACCAGCGGTCTGATTGTAAAGCTATCGTTTATCTTTACTTTCGCAGATAATGGTATAATAATGTGACAGGATAACCCGGCGGTGTAAAGGAAAAGCACGCACAACGTGATGAGTTTGCGACTCTTCAGCACGTTCTTCAGCATCATCCTGCGATGATCTTCGTGCCAAACGACTCGCCAATCGTCTTCGACGTGCTCGATGCACCTGCTGATCGCTGTGCCACGCGCACCGAGGAAGCAGTACTTGACCACGGAAGTCAGGCAGAAGCCGATGGGACCGAGAAGTTTTACCTTCACGTAAATATCCTTCTCGCGGAGAAGGACGTATGGGCCGGAAGGCACGAGCACGAAGCACAGCATAGAAACGCACATAAAGGTGAGCGCGGTCGAGAGTAACTTCTCGTTTTGCGATGATCGGTTGTAAACGAAGTGCCAGATGCCGATCGGTTTCATGACCCAACGGCAAAGCTGCATAGCGTAATGTATGTCGTGTTGGTAATGTACATTGCGTACCTGAATCTTTCCTGAAAATCGGGATCGATCGTGCATGCTGACGTTAGTGATGTGTAACGCCGACTAAATTGCATGGTGCGGTATGTTCCCACATCCACGTGACGACGCAAGCGCAGGAAAATAATGATTTCGTGATCGCGTGCAAGTGCGTTTCACGTCTGTCATATGTAGCAAAGTCAAAGGACTTTATGTTGTAACACGCGAAGGGTTGTCCCCTTTACACGGTCATTATTCGTCTAAGGGTTCGATGATGTGGAGGAGTGCGTAGGGAAAGTTTACGTGGAGTCATGACATAATTGTACGGGTATATAGGTAACCCTGCTATTCATCAATGTGCGTAACGCAGCATTGCGCGTAGCAGATGCATTTTGACGGTAATTATAGTAGGACGTAACTGCACATTTCACGTAATATTTCATAATACATACACATATATACACATACACACATAACATTCTTAATTTTGTTCTTTATCAAATTTAATTAGTTTTCTTATTTTCGGTCTTAATCCCGATAATTAGTAAAATCTCTAATAAATTTAGTTTTTCTTATTTCTCGAATTTATGTTAACACGTAAACAATCATTTATGTAATATTATTCGGTAACAAATAGATATATATTATGCTAGTATATATTTAAATTTTATTAAGTATGTTGTTTTATAGTACCAATTTTTTTATAATATACTCGATAACGAGGAGGTCATTTCAGATAGTAAAAGTACGAAGTAAATTCAAATAAGCCACAGACGCTTTCACGATCTAAAATGTTTAATCTCTTTTGCGTTTATTTTCTTTACGTTATGTAACACTTTATTGATTGATTTTTGTACTCACGCTACAGAAACTGGCCAAGGATAAATCCATGAATTTGCCAGCTGTGAGTTTGATCGTGGCATTGGACATGGACATTACTAATGTTAAACCGAGCGCTCCTCTACTCGGGAGACGGTACCAGTCTATCATGTAAGACTTTATCCCAATCTGTACACACTATTAAAAATATCGGATAATGTTTTGCATAAATATATTACAATAGTTTTATATCAAGCCTGTCAATTCGCAGACTACATAAATTTTTGTGAATCAAATTCATTATGAGAGTAAAGAGTGTAAGGTGTAATCATGGCTTAAGTACCTGTTCGGCTAAAAGCTCTCCAATATAACAAAAAATAAATATATTGTATGTGAAGGAAATGAGTAGCGAACAAAAGCCCATTGTTCCTAAAGTTTCGCGATGTTCCCATTCCTAGAAGACTAACATCAAAACATCATGAGCGCAAAATCATTACTTGATTTTGTAATATTTTTGAGAAGTCATTCAATAAATGAAGAAATAAATGTTTATAAAATAAAGAAAAATCGATTATGTTTCGTACCGTCATCAAGTTGAATCCTAGGAAACATATGTTGAGCGTGCATCCAATTACATCCACAAGACAAATTTCATTCAAAAGTTCCTCAGTGCAAGTGATAAAACTATAAATCACATGATTAAAGTAAGAAAACGAACTAAAATTTTTTTTTCAGATATTCCATTTGAAAATCATAAAATCTTTCTCTCTCTCTCTCTCTCTCTCTACACAATAATGTTTATTATATCAAATTTATATCAAATAAATTTTGATAATATCATAATCAAAGTCATTTTAAGTACGTTATCATTTGTAAAAATTAAAATATTTTAAATCATTTATCAAAATTAATATAAAAATCCTAATATCTTATAGCAAAAAAATTTCCTTTTCATTCATGGTAAACAATTTAATTTTTCTATCAACATATTTTCATTCACATGCATATGTGAAATTTAATCAAAGGGTCCTGTAAAATAAATGAAACTCGTATACTTTACCTGAGTATCCTAATGTGACACTTTACGATATCGCCAAGTCTTTTTTCAGGTGTGTTATTAGCGCTCTTTCTGTCTTTACCGTCCGCAAGGTCCTCCATTTTTAGCATGAGAATTTGGAATTGTCCACAAGCGTGCATGACGAACACCGCGGCTAGGCTGCAAACGCTGATGGTGATCGTATAAATGACATAACCGGCCAGAGCTTGCATGAATTGCACGACCTCGAACAATGGACTATCCTGTGGGTCAAACAAGCCTCGGTAGACCGGGAATGCATGCAATTTCACCGTCACATTGTCAATGATATCAGTTCTCCTTGAGAATAACGGCATCAGAGCAGTGTAAAACAAGCCACCGGAGTACATGAAGACCGCGCTGACGATGGACAACCACCTGCCGAATCGGGCATTGTCAAACATAATCTCTCGATCCTTTTCGTGGCCCAATCTGATGCGATTCCAGTCTGAGTGGACGTGGCGAATGCACTCACTGATCTTCTCGTTGCGGGCGATGAGGATGTAATGTTTCATCACAGCCGTCAGGAAGAAAATGAGCGGACCGATCATCCGGAGTTTGTTGTCGAGATCGGCATCCACCAGAATAGTGCTGAGTACGCATGGGAGCACGAGAAAACCTATCAGGAAGCAACTGTTTATTATCAAGATCACGCAACCGAATTTTTCCGTGGTGGTTTCACAAAGAGCCAGAGGCCACGCGCCGATTGATCTCAAAAACCAACGGCTCAACTGGATGCTATAATTCCAGCCGTTCGTCGCAGATTCGAGAGGCTTCGAAATCAAACGATCGAGCATGGTAATTGCAAGCTAAATCGCAATGACACACGTTAGTGACTGAGCATGACTGTCAAGAATAGACTGGTAGTCGTTCAGCATGCGCATGTGCGTCTTTCGCCCGCCTTTTAATAACCGTGCGTGAATACAATTGATTTCTCTTTACCCTTTCTACCAGATCAATTCCTTATTAATGATACATCGGTGGATCTTGAGTTGTGGAACATAACGTTGCGTGATGCGTGTGTGCGATATCAAAGGGTTGCAAGGTAAGAAAGCGTATTCGCAAGGAAGGGATTTAGTGCTATTTTGTGCTATTCATAATCAAGAGGAGATATGTAATGTATCCGGTTCATGTTTCTTACTTCGCATTTTCTTTGGCATATCGAGCATTCAATCCTCTTGTCTCATCATATTTTACTTCTTCAGTATTCACTTCAGTTCTATTGATATTACAGTTATTGTATTAGAGTCAAAGAAAATGCAATGTAATAGTTAGTATAAGGTAAACTTCTTTCCGAGAGAAAAAGAAACATATTGGTGACTACAATTATGTGCAGTGTGTAAAAATCACATGTAATAATGAATTTCAATTTATTTCACTTCTATATGCACAATAAGTATAACAACCTATTAAGCCACTTGTCGTAGCATGTTTAAATATGTCACAGACGCCTTTAGAACCTGTAAAGCAAGATTAACATTAGATTTTAAATAAATTTCTAAAAGATCTAAAAGATTTCGCTTCTAAAAGATTTCTAAGAATTTATGTTTATTCTCAGATTCTCAGATGACAACTTCATTTCTTTAATCATTTCAGCGCTGTGAATATACCAATATATGAGATTCGACAAATCGCTCATCTTGCGTTATAAACTTATGTTACACGTTCCTAGTATAGAACTTTTTATTTATTATAATATTTATATTCAGTCCAGCGCGCGTTTTATTGTATAATTACAACCAAATAATTACTTACTTAATGCTTACTAATTTTGGAAGCTATGCAACGTGCAGGGTTAACGCCGAAAGGATTAATGAAAATTTCTTTATAATATTTCAGCTTTTTTCGTCTCAGTATTCAATAATAATATGACGCGTATTGCTAGATGGATGAAACTTACATTCCCGAATGTGTACAAAGACAACTCGATCATTTTGCCGGCGGAAAGATTAACATTCAAACTGCATCTCAAATTTATCAAAAGAAGTCCAAGAGCAGCTTTTGGAGGTAGACGATACCACTTTGTCATGTAAGCCGCCATACCAACTCGCTTGTACTATTACAGGATTTAATATCATATTCCTGCTTATGTCGAAGTTTAAATAATATTTATCATTATTCTTCATTATAAATGTACGTAAAAATACTGTGTGGGAGTTTTTCATCCTATTGCGCTATTTTGATAAAATTATTCGGTTCGCTAATAAGAATTTGGTGTTACCTGTTCGCTGAGAATCTCGGCAATATAGCAAATTATAAAAATATTTAACGTAAAAGATACGCCTGCTATACAATACGTTGGAATACTTTCTTTTTTGTCATGATTCCATGCCTAAAAATTTTAGATATAACTCACGACTAAATCTCATAGGTCACAATTTTATCGCTCAAACTTGCTGTACACATTTAATGCAGATGATTTATGTCCATATAACTATTTAGATTACTAATATTAATTAATGAATTGTCGTACAATTTATTAGCATACACTTTGTATTAAATTTCTAAACTACTTTTAATATTGTACAGCATACCGTTATAGAACAATATCCGAGGAGACACAACGTTAGCGAACCTCCTACCAATTCCACGAGACATGTCAAATAAATTACTTCTTCTATATGAGACACAAAACTGCAAATATATATAGAATATATTATGATTACTAAAAAAAAGTAGCAGAGAAAATTAATGATGCTGTAATGCCAATAGTATTGTTGCTGAGAGAGAAAATAATAGATATAATAATAAAAATAATAAAAATTAAAATAATAATGCGAGTGAATAATAGTTTCAAACGTACGTCAATTAATATTTTATTGTTGTCTCTACATTTTATGTAAGAGTAATATAAATTCATAATATAGTATAATGTTACAAATATAATAAGAATGACGAAAAAACTTTTCTTAAATGAATTTACATGAAATAACACTAAGTATTAAAAGTATATTCAAGATTAGAAAATCTAAATAACTGAAACAATTAGAGTAATTGGAATCGTTTGAAAGATAAATTTTGTCTTCTTACTTGATTACCCGTAAGTGATGTTCGACGATGAAGCCAATTTTTTGTTGTACTATACTATTGTCCACAACACCGTCATCGTGCACGATATTGTCCAACCACATTGTTAGGATCTTGAGTTGCCCACACGCGTGCATTACGAAGATCACCATCAAACCACAGTTGACGCTGGTGACACCACACATGACAAAGGCTGATACGCTATGCATAACCAACACCACCTCATACGCAGGACTGAAGCGCACGTCTAGAATTTCATGGTAGAATGGATAGGGCAACTCGCGAACCGAAATATTGACATTATTCACTTCCACGACGTTCTTGATGAGACACCTGGTGACGCTATAGAATTGTACGGCGCTGTGCATGAACGTAGTGAGAAACGTTGCCATGATGCGACCGATCTTGGCATTCCTCAGCATCACTTCGTGATCGCCGATGCTTCTCACGGTATTCCAGTCAAGCTCCATGCAATTTATGCAAATGCGTATGTCGTTGACGTGCAGCACCAAGCAAATATACTTCATGACTGTCATGATGTAGCAAAAGAATGGACCGATGTGTACCATTATCAAATCCGTATTTTCACGTTCTTCAACGAAAAGAGCTAAACCGCAGCTTAATGTTGTAATGAGTAATAGAGAAAAACATGTACATATTGAAAATTCCGAGAGAACTCGGTCAACAATTGAAGCGTTGCTTGAGCAAGGCCAGAGACATATCGATTTCAATAACAAACGGATCAGTCGAATACTGCGCTCTTTTTCAGTGGTGACAGTGGAGGACTTGCGATCAAGCACGCTATCGCCCATGATCGCTCAGTGAGAATTGTCTGATGACTGGAAAGTCGCTTCACTGGAAACCTTCGATACGTAACGATTGAAATAAGCGCTTGCGCGGAAAATGCATACTATACAATGTTGAGGGTGCTTTTGCATCTGCTGTGTATTATTGCGGTAATATGCAGCTGTTGCGGCAACAGGTAGAAGTAGTACATGATCGATACTTGCGGCTGAAGTTTCGTACGCCGAGTATTACAGTTTCGAGCACGCAACTTCACCCTAAATCGTATCTGTGTTGATTCGTGAGCAAGAAAAATAAGATATGTTTTTACTTTCATCAATGAAATTACTTTCATCAACAAAATCAGTTTTATTGTTGTAATATTCAATTATTTCATAAAGTGCATGTGTATTTCAAGTTTTGAAAGCCATTACACGTATAAATTTCATTTTGCTTTCAAGTGGATTTCTTTTTCTATTCAATAATTTGTAAAATTAAATAGTTGATTTGTTTCCAATAATATCTAAAATATTTTATATTATTTGATTACTGACTATTTTGTTGTTTACACAATTTTTAATAGATACAAAATTATAATTATTCTTACGTAATAAAAATATGTTCAAATATGTTAATATTCACGTTTGTTTTTCTTACGTTTTGTGATAAACACTTTATTAATCGCTTTCTATATTGACGCTGGCTAGAGATAAGTAGAGATAAGTTTGTTGTGATTTTGTGACTTTGATTGTGGTATTGGATGTAGACATAACTAATGTTAAACCAAGAACTCCTTTAATAGGCAAACAGCAGCAATCTATCGTAGGAGATTTTATCCCAATCGGTATGTACTGTTAAAAAAGTCGCATAATGTTCTGCAAAAATATATTATTACACCTTTACAACGAGCCTTTCAATTTGGAGTTTATTTATTTTATTTCATTTCTACATGCACAATAAATATAACGGTCTATGTAGTCATTTGTCGTAGCATGTTTAAATAAGTCACTGCCTTCATAACTTGTAAGCAAGATGTATTATATCTTTGAACTTACATATACATATATTCGTGTTTCTAAAGAATTTCTAAAAATTTATTTCAACAAGATAACGGAACAACTTCATTTTCTTAACAATTTCGGAGCTATAAATCTATGTATTGAATATTATCATACACGTGTCATCGAAAGTTTGAGCGCAAATGTTAATGTAGATATTTTCAGAACAATTTTGCTATTTTTATTACTATGATTAGTAAGTGGACAAACAGTAAAACTTACGTTCCCAAATATGTACAAAGACAACTCGATCATTTTGCCGGCGGAAAGATTAACATTCAAACTGCATCTCAAATTTATCAAAAGAAGTCCAAGAATAATTTTTGGAGGTAGACGATACTACTTTGTCATGTAAGTTGCCATACCAACTTGTTTATACTATTACAGGACTTAATGTCAAACTCTAGCTTTGCGTCGGAGTTTAAATAATATTTATCAGTATCATACATTATATATATACACGGTGTTTTTTTTAACTTGAGACTGCTAAATATCTCGAAAAATAAGCATTATACGAAAAAAATGTCCCAAATAAACCCTCAATAGTTTCAAGGGCGCAATTCAATTCCACAAAAATTATCCACCTCCCGCCCCCCCTGGGGATGGGGCGGGGGATAACTTTGAAATCTTAAATAGGAATCCCTACTTTTTATTACATATACGGATTTTACATCCAAAAACACGTAACTTTTGTCTGAACTTTTTTTTTATATTTCTGATAGATGGCGCTGCATTCGGCGAAAATTGGGTAACCTTCGTTTTCTTCAAAGGGAATCCTCTATAATGACGCTACGTCGAAGAAAAGTAACTTTTGTCGGAAACATGTTTTTTCGAATTATCGTAAATATCTACGATAATTTTTTATCCGCTTTAACTAAAAAATGAAAATAAAAGTTACAATCTCCAATGGCCATCTATCAGAAAAAAAAAGTTCAGACAAAAGTTACGTGTTTTTGGATGTAGAATCCGAATCTGTAATAAAAAGTAGGGGTTCCTATTTAAGATTTCAAAGTTACCCCCGGCCCCATCCCTAGGGGGGCGGGAGGTGGATAATTTTTGTGGGATTGAATTGCGCCCTCGAAACTATTGAGGGTTTATTTGGAACATTTTTGTCGTACAATGCTTATTTTTCGAGATATTTAGCAGTGTCAAGTTAAAAAAAACACCCTGTGTATGTGTGTAACAACTTTATATAGGTGATTTTCATCTCGTTTGTGCTTTTTTTAATAAAATTATTTAAGGTTATCGTTAAAAATTTTAAATTACCTGTTCACTGAGAACTTCAGCAATGTAGCAAATTATAAAAATATTTAATATAAAAGATGAAGTTATTATAATATGTTGGAATATTTTCTTTTTTGTCTTGATTCCAAGCCTGAACATTTCAGATGTAACTCACGGGTTGTATTGTCACAATTTAAATGTTTCTCCGCAACAAGAATTCATTTATTGCTGCCGTTTTATTTTTATATCATTATTTTGATCATTGCTATTAACTAATTGAATATTGTAAAACTTATTAACGTGCACTTCATATTAAATATCTAAATTATTCTTAATTCTGTTTTACATACTATGATGGAACTATATCCGAGGATACACAAGGTTAACGAACCTCCTACTAATTCCATGAGACATGTCAAATATATAATTTCTTCTATATAAGATACAAAACTGCAAATACATGTACAATATGTTGTGATTGTTAGAAAAAGTAGTAAAGAAAGTTATTTGTGCTAATAACATTCATAGTATTGTTGCTGAATACGATAAAATAATAAAGTTTTATATGTATATCGAGTAACAGTTACCGCAAAAATTTATTTAGAATTATGAAGATCTAAATCAGTGTTCAAAATTACTTGCTTTATCGAGGCGTGTTTCGAGGTCTATACTTATTTTCTTCATCTAACTTCATATGCTCTCTCATCAAGTCTTGTGACTGGCTGTCGCAGTACTTAACCACAAGATCGTTAATTTTATAAAAACTGCGGGATTTTCCCCAATTTTTAAATAGTTTTTTTTTAAATTAGTTCTATTGTGTTAATTAGTTAGTTAATTAGTTCCATCAATTATATAATATAAATATATTGGTAGCATAGGTAAAATCTCATAATATTATGTAGAAATATATTCACAATAAAATCTTCTCTAAAAAACTAAAGAGTGTCTCGTATGTCTTACGAAATTGACGATTTTGAGGCTGAACACAATGATTGTCAATTACACCCTCGAAGAGTGAGCAGGAGAGGCAAGAAGAAAAAAGTAAGTACAGCCTTCAAAACTCGCTTCGAAAATGCAAGTAATTCTTACTGATTTAAGTGATTAAGATAATCAGAACAATTAGAACAGTTATATTACAGACATATTGATTTCAGCAATCAACGAATCAATCGAATATTGCGCTCCTTGTCAGCTACATAAGTGCTGACAGCGAAGGACTCGCGATCGAGCATGGTATCGCCCATGATCACTCAGTGAAGATGGTCTATCACTGAACGTTTATTTCACTGGAAGCTTTACGTAAGGCTTGGAATAGTATACGTAACGATTGGAATAATGCTTGCGCGGAGGGTGCATACTAATGTTGAGAGTGCCTTGTATTTGCTGTGTGTATTATTGCGATAATGTGCAGTTGTTGCAGCAATAGATAGAAGTAGCACATAATCGATACTTGAAACTGAAGTTTCGTGCGCCTAGTAAGTATTACAGCTTCAAACATGCAACTTCGGTCTAAAACTTTTGTGATTCGTGTACGAGTAAGATAAAATATTTTTCAGCAACATCTAAAATTAATATTAACATTATAAATGAAAGTGCGTAATTAAAATAGTTTGTTGAAAATAGGATATTGGGATATTTGGTATTAATTAATATTAATAAATTAGGATAAGAGTTAGTCTGACGTAGAAGGTTGATTCATCGCGTATGTTGCGAGTTTGGAAATATATTCTGTGTGTGCGTTGACACTGGCACACATTATTATTCTGTCATATTTTAATATTCGCACTAACAGTTGCAACTGGCTTTCAGTTATCATCTTTCTCTCACTTTAAAATAAATTTTACTTTTTCCAACGAAATATCAAATTATTTTTATCGATGTAATATTCGACCATATTATACAGTAAATATTGCAAAGTTTTACATTTGGGAATTTTGTTTTATTTTTAAATTTCTTCCCGTTCGATAATTTATGCATTAGTTGATTTGTTTTCCATAATAAGTGAAGTATTATGTATTATTTTATTATTTCTTTGCTCTCTATTTTGTTATTTATAATTTCATAACAAATAAAAATTTGTTAATTTCTTTACGCAATAAGGGTGCGAAGTATATTCAAATATGTTAATGCAGATTTAATTACCTGAAACAGTTATTAATTATACATGTGCTCTGTCACAATAATAAATATATTTATCTGGCTATTCAATGGATTTAAGAAAAAGTATCTAGCGACATTTTTACGAAACATGTTGTGTATGCATATGTTTCTTGCATATGTGTTGTATAAAGTATTCTTTGTACAAATTGTAAACTTGGCAAATTAAAAAATATCCTTCCGTATACTTACAGTGCCAAAAGTAGAGAGAGAGAGCTCAATCATTTTTCCAGCAGTAATTTTGACTACGATGCTAGATTTCAAAATTATCAAAACGAGGCCGAGGGCTGTGTTTCCAGGTAAAACATACCAATTTGTCATGTAGGCAGTTTCACCGACTTGGCCGCACTGTTACAGGCCGTTTTACATACTTGTTACAATCAGAATTTGAAAGTTGTCATCCCTTGCGGCCGGCTTTTCCATCCAAGCGCCTGCTAGCGGATGAATATTGAGAAGCTTGTTATTTATTGTAATATTATTTTCGAATCTCTCCGATTGTCAGCAGATGTCTGAATGGAAAAGTCGGCCGTTAAGAGACTGTAACTTTCAAACTTTGATTATAATTATATTGAATAGCGGCAAAATCAATCAGTGAAGCTAATACAACAAATTACTGATGAATCGTGTAATCAATTGCGAAGTAAAATCTCTGATATTTTTAATGAGCACTGCCGTTACGGTTACCTGCTCGGAAAGGATTTCTCCGATGTAACAAAATATAAAGATGTTGAAAGTAACTGATACCAATATTATACAATATGCTACTATATTTTGTTTATCGCCTTGGTTCCATTCCTAAAATAATAAAAAATCAGATAGCAAATAATAAAGCATCAGTGTAATTTTTGTGCTATGCGCGTACCGTGATGCAGTAATAGCCCAAGAGACACATATGCACCGTGCACCCTACTATTTCCACGAGACAAGTTATATTTGTAATTTTTTCCAAACGAGACACAAAACTACAAACATATTTATAATCTTGATAAATTAATTATGGTGTGTACAATTGATTATTTGTACATTTTCTCTTTTATACTTACTATGTATGTGTATATGTTCATATATTATAGGTTTATATATTTCAATATACACTCGTCAACAAAATTATCGCATAGATAAATTTAAATCGATATTTCGCAATGTTAAATGAGCATAATACCGCGGAACATTATCGTATTTGAAATCCTTTCTTTTTTATTTTAAAGAGTGAAGTCTGTACTTTAAGAAGCATTTATCGGATTTCGAATTTATTTTGTCCCCTTCCCGTAGTCTTTTAAAAAATAAAGACGTGTTGCGTCTTCAAAAAATTGCGTTAATTCTTATCCTACGAAGTGAAATAAATATTTTTCGTAAATTTTATGATAATCATCGTAAAGTATAGACTTTTTCCTGCAATTTAAAAAGAGCTGATTTACAATGGACGCGCAAGATTCGATCCTCCCCGTGGTGCGCATCGGGTAATGTTAATGCTGACGATAATTGATCAAAAATGCATAGGTAACTTTGATACGCCGTACAACATTGCGGAAGAAAGTTGTGCACACTTCTTCCTTATTTTTTTATTTGCAAGGAAATTTCGGTATTTTATGATGGTTATCGTAAGATTTGTGAAAAGAATTTATTCCATTCAGTAGAGTCAAGTTAATCAATTTAAAAAATGCATAGGTAACTTTGGTATATCGCAACTTCGCGAAAAAAAATCGTACAAAACTACTTTTTTTTTTTTAATTGCAGGGAAAAGTCTATACTTTACGGTGATTATCGTGAAATTTACAAAAAAAATTTCTTTTACACGTAGGATACGTCAAATTGTGCAATTTTTTGTAGACGCAATACGTCTTTACTTTTGAAAAGACTATAGGAAGGGGAGAGAATAAATTAAAAATGCTTCTTAAAGTACAGACTTCACTCTTTAAAATAAAAAAAAAAGATTTTAAATACGACAATGTTTCGCGGTATTAAATTTGCTTATTTAAATTTGTGCAAAATTTCGACATAAATTTACTTACGCGATAATTTTGTTGACGAATGTATATTTACAGTAGACTAGATTGGTATATTCGCAATAATCATTAAAGAATAATGCCAACATACTTTATTAAAAATAATATTTAACATATTATTAAACAAAAAGTAATTCTGGCTCAAATATGCGTATGAGTACAATACAGAAGTCTACATTTAAAATATTTATTCAGATCTTACCTCAATACTCTCAAATGGTGTTCCACTATAGCAGCAAACTTCTGCTTCGTAAAGTTCCCTTTCTCACTTTCCTCACTTGTGAGATTATTCAGCAAAGACATGAGAATCTTCAATTGACCACAGGCGTGCATGACGAAAACGGCGGTAAGACTGCATGTTGCTACAGCCACAGAATTCACCACAAATGTAGACAGAAACTGCATCGCGAACACTAACTCGTACGCCGGACTCGTCGTAGTGTCTACGATTTTGTTGTAGAACGCGAAGGGTAGTGAATGTATAGACATATTACTTTTCGAGGCCGGCTCTTCCATCGTCAGTCCTCTGAAAATGCTGTAGGAAAAGACGCCACTATGCATGAACATTGCAGCAAATAAGGCGATGAAGCGACCGATCTTGGCATTCCTCAGCATTAGCTCACGGTCTTCTGTTTTCGTCACGGTCTTCCAGTCGGTCTCGACGTGTTCGATGCATCGTCGTATGTCACTGATGTGCGTCAGTAACGAGCAGTACTTGAGACTCGCCAGCGCCCAGTTACTGAGAGGACCAAACTCACGGACTTTCGTTTCTATGTCCTTGGTCTCATCCAAGAAGATGCCTAACGCGCAAGGCACCATGGTGCCGACAATTAAAAAAACGCACGTTATTAACAAAATATCCGAAAAAATTTTCTCCTTGATCGACGAGTCTGCCACGGGCCAGACACTTATTGGTTTTAGTAGCCAGCGAATCGGCTGTATGCTGTACTCATTGTCCTCCATGTAACTCAATGTGATCAGAGATCGCTCTCGAGAGACGCTCTTCATGTTTGTTTCGCAAACGCGCAGACACGATTGAGAACAATCGCGAGGGGACTATTTAAAACGCATGCGAGGTGATAGTCAACGCGTGCGCGTTATATACCGACTACACTTTCGTACACAATACAACCGTCTCTTAGCTAATCGATATTTACGGAGACAGTAATGTGATATGATAGTGAGTTTATCGTAGACAATGAAAGCAATAGTAAATTGTCTGATCATCTTGCCGTAAAATTCATTTATTTTTCTATCTCTTTTATTACTTTCAACTGTATCTCTAGTAAGATAATTTCATTTAAACTTATTAGTGCTTTTGAATTTTTAAGTCTGTATATAATAACAATTTTTTGCATCATTTTCTGGTAAATTTATTGTTAGTATTTCTCTTGTTTCGTTTCTGTTTGAAGTTGGGGTCAAGAGACTGTACTGCAAACAGAGCAGGGCAATGCCCGCATTTATATCGATTGGTTCCAAAAGTAAAGGGTGAAACTTTGTTCTAATCAATATACGAATAAAGCTCGCACAGGTCGTTGCACCAAAATAATCAACTGTCACGTAGGGAAGGGTGTTTGCAACAGTACAAGCGGGTATAACTGCTTTTAAATTTGCATTTACAACTGTACAGAGAGCTGCAGGTCTCCTTTTTTCTCATTAATGAGATTTATTAAATATTCTATTTTGGAAATATTTCAACTGTTCTATATAAAATATGATTCCACATTACATATTCTTTGCTATATTTTACATAGCCATTGTTCGTAATATATTTAAATACACTACGGAAGTCTTGACTACCTAAAATAATAATTCGTTCATTTAAAATACCTCAATGATCAGATTAGAACAATTAAACATATGATATATATATATATATATATATATATATATATATATCTCCATATATATTTTAATAAATAAATCATAAATATTTCATAAATTGCATGTTTAAATTTTAAACTTTTAAATTTTAAATCAGAATCTTAAACAAAAAACAAAAATATTTTTACGGGTAATATATGTTTGTTACATACATCGCCAAATGTTGTTATAGATAAATTAAATAGCTTGCCCGCAGTTATCTTGATCACATTACTCGATCGTGCGATTATCAAAATAAGACCAAGCGCAGTTCTATGACGTAGTTTATACCAATTAGTCATATATGCCATTTCCCCAACATTTTTACACTAATAAATATATACAGATATTTTGAAAATTCCTGTGAAGTGTCTTAGAAATCTAAAAATTAAGCTTAAAATGCTTATTTAATTAAATATTACGAAACGTCAATATAAATATTGCATTTTGCTAGAGACGTAAGTAAATTTTATCTTCTTTATATGTTATAATAAGATATTTCTATTTAATTTTATAATCAAGGGAGAAAATTTCACGTTCCACAAAAATATAAATTTTATCTTGATATACAGATGATAATAATATATGATAAAAATGTGATCGATATATCATAGAAATATATTGCAATAATATATTTTATCTTATATTTTATATATTATATATTTTAATATCTTTTTAGTGTAAATTTATTGTAAAAAAATTAGCTATACAAATAATTTCATTATATTACCTGTTCGGTAAGAACCTCACTGATATAGCAAAATATAAAAATATTGAATCCCATCGATAGATATACAAGAACATATGACATTATTTTAGCTACATCAAACGCAGCCCAATTCTACAAAATCAAAGTATAAGTTTATTTAGCATAGAAGAAAGTTAACTTACTTTCTCCATTTCCATATTCCATATTACGATTAGTAATTAGTAGAAATATTGTCAGTTTTTTATAATGCAATCTTGACATACAAAATCTTTTGACAAAAAATGAATTTTGACCAAAAATGAATTTTGTTAATGTATCTCTAATAATATAGTTTTCTTTTCAGATAATTAGCATACCATGAGAGCATAATATCCAAGTAAACACATATTTATTGTGCATCCCATCAATTCCGCGAGACAGGCTTTATGCATAATGCTCTCCACGCGTGTTATAAAACTGCAATACATATATATATATATATATATATATATATATATAAGTAACTATATATGCATAAAGGCAAAAAAGTGCACAAGTATGACAAAATGGAAAAAAGAATGCACATCGATCTTAAAGCCTCATTGTGCTCGCTAATGTGAGCTTGCGCTAAGTGTATGTGAAGTTCAACAATTAAATAAAGATACCTCAGGACTCTTAAATGATGTTCCACGATATTGGCCAATTTCTGTTCAGGCAGATTTCCTTCATTGTTCTTTTCAGTAAGCTCGTTCAACCACACATACAGCACATTCAGCTGACCACAAGCGTGCATCGCGAAAACGGCAGCGAGGCTGCAAATACACACTGTAGAAGCACTCGTTACATAGGTTGACATAAATTGCACGACTAGCATGATCTCATTTGCTGGACTGAATCTCGTGTCGATGAACTTCTGGTACAACGGACACGTCATCGGATACATGGTGACGGTTTTATTATCGATAACTACAGTCACAGTCTTCATCGCCTTAGCTATGCTAAAAAGAAATGCACCGCCCTGCATGAATACCGCGCACATCGCGGCGATGAAGCGACCTGACTTGGCGTAATGCAGCATTAATTCGCGATTATCAGTCTTTCGTACGAGCTTCCAATCTGCTTCCATATGATGTATACAATTGCGAATGTCGCCACTTCGGCTAAGTAACGTCCAATAATTGACTGAGCCCATAATCCTGTGAATTAGGGGACCGATGGCGTTTAGTTTTGATGGGATGTCCTGCGCCTCGAATGACACGTATAATAGGCACGGTATCGTAATAATTGCCACCACAACCGAGCAGACCGGAATTAGCACTATCGCGGATAACTTTTCCCCTACGGTCGACGTGCGCGTTTGAGGCCAAGCCCCGATAGATATGAGAAACCATCGACTCAATTTTAAGCTATAATTATTGTTCTTAATCGATTCAATATTGCTTGATACACGCTTGAGACTTGACATGATTGCTTCATGAAGGTGCACGGCAAACTATCACGACAGGCAGTGCATTTGCTACACGTTTGAGGTGGATACAAAGCAGCGCTTGCGCTGACATTCGGAGAAGTTTTGTGAACGAAACATTCGTGTAATTTCTCTTAGGGAGGTGGTACGTTCGATCAATAATTATTCGTCGGAAAAAGCTTGTATTACCTGTTGTTCTGCGAAAGGATATCGCGCGCAGCAAACACAATAAAAACGAATGTTTAGAAATGAATCATAGTGTGCTACGATTTAGTGAATTTCTAACAATTTTCGTTATATTTCTCTACTTTTTTATGTGCAGGAAAATTATGTAAGTAAAAAATAATATAGATGGTGAGATAGAGTATTTTTAGAGTAACGAAAAGTATTTTATATTATTTGAATATTGTTCATAAAACAACTTATATAACAAACAGTTCATAAAGAAACAGTTATTTAAATATTAATAATTAACAGTTTAAATATTAACAGTTATTTAAATATTGATATTGAATTTCTGGTTGATTAGAGATATCGTGTAATCTCTTGAAAATAATATTGACCGCAAACAAATTAAATATTGTGGCAAAACTAACTGCATTTTTAAATATACTTGTATTTTATCTTGAAAATATACTTATTTTTCTGCAAAATATGTCATCTACACATTTTCTAACTTACTATATTTCATACAGACATCGTTTGCAATACATTTATATACGCTAAAGAAGTTTTAATTATCTGAAACAACAAAGTGTCTTATTTATACCTGCCTATACATATGGAAAAACATTTTAAAAGGTTGAAATTTCAAATATTGATTGAATCACGAAAATAAATAAATAAATTAATTAAATTAATTGATAAAAATGTAATAATCCAATTTTTGGTTTGCTAATTTTTACAATTTTATCATACAAATTATTAAAATTTGATGTTGTTTATCAAATGTTTCTTAATATAATATTGTTAATGACGATGTATATGACTTACGTCCCCAAACGTAGCGATAGACAGATGAAATATTTTTCCCGCTGTTATTTTGATTACATTATTTGACCGTGCTATTATTAATATAATGGCACGCGCAGTTTTATAATTCAACTTGTACCAATTAGTCATGTATACCATCCGACCGACGTTCCTACACTAATAAATTAATTCAAACATTACTCTAAATCATTATGACTAATTAAGAGTTGTTAATGAGATATAAGAATGTTAAAAGACATAAACAGTTTGAATACAAATACTCGACTAAAAAGTGTTATAAATTTTCTTACTATACTGAATAAATTATAAGAAAAGCTACTTCGTCTTAAATTACTGAATAAATTATAAAAAAAGCTACTTCGTCTTTGAGATATTACCTGTTCGGTGATAATCTCTCCGATATAACAAAATATAAAAATATTAAAAGCCATTGATATATATATCGTAATCAATGACATTATTTTTCCTGTGCTAAACACACTCCAATTCTATAAAATTAAAACTTCAGTTCATTTTTACGTAAGAAAAATGTACAATTGTATTTTTGGAGCTAATTTTATAATTAGATAAAATTTTATATATATATATATATATATATATATATATAAGCATATATATCGTTACATATATCAGATATATATAATATATATAGAAAAAAATATTTAAATATATAAATATATTAACTATTGGTTAGTTAATTATTACAATTTTATCATACAAAATATTAACATTTAATGTAGTTTATCAAATGTTTCCTAATATAATATTATTATAATAACGATATATATGACTTACATCTCTAAACGTGGCAACAGACAAATTAAATAATATATATTATAATTATATATTTGCAATTACATATATTTAAATATATATTATATATATATATATATATATTCAAATAAATATAATTTTAATGTATCTTTAATAAGATATTTTTTCTTTTCAGATAATTAGCGTACCATAACAAAATAATATCCAACTAAACACATATTCAGCGTGCATCCCATTAATTCCACGAAACAGGCTTTATACATAATATTCTCCATACGTCCTATGAAACTGAAACATATCTATCTAGTTTTAACATGTTTTGTTCAGAACGTACACTGTTTTGCCGACTTGCAAATCTAGTAGCATCAAGTTAACTTGTAGCATCAAGTTAAGCTTCATAAAATTTCAGAAAACACTTGTATCGTGCAACATAATCGATATATCTAATTATTTTTGTTTAAAAGTTAATACACATATAAGATGCAGTGAAAGCACCACAGTTAAATAAAGTACCACAAAACTCTTAAGTGATGTTCGACGATAGTGGTCAATTTTCGTTGAGCTAAATAGTTTTCCTTGGCATAATCTTCCACGAATTCGTTAAACCACGCGGACAACATGTTCAATTGACCACAGGCATGCATCGCAAACACAATGGCAAGACTACAAATACACACTGTGGAGGAATTCATTATGAAGCTCGATATGAATTGCATACTAATCATGATTTCATTCGCCGGACTAAATCTCGCGTCGATAAGCTTGCGATACGCTGGACATGACAACGGACGTGTCGTGACGGTTACATTATTGTGAATAAAGGTTACGGTTTTCATTGTTGAATAAATGTTAAACAGAATTGAACTGATTTGCATGAATATTGCGCAGGCTCCGGCCATATAACGGCCAATCTTGGCGTGTTTCATCATCACCTCGTAATCCTCGATTCTCTGAGCGACATGCCAGTCCTTTTCCATATGTTTTATGCATTCATGAATCGCTTTGCTGTGTGTAAGTAGTACCCAATAATTCCAGGAGCCCATTATTCTATGCACTAGCGCACCGAGAGAATTTAATTTCATTTGGATGCCCTTCGCCTCGAAAAGTATATACAATAAGCACGGTATGCTAATTACTGCCACAATGGACCACCAAATAGGAACAAGTATTAATGAGGAGAGCCTCTCTATTATGCTGGATGTTCGTGTTTGCGGCCAAGCACCGATAGATAAAAGAAACCATCGGCTGAATTGTAAACTATAATCATTGTTTTTTTTCGATTTAATATCGCTTGGTACACGCGTAAAACCCGACATGATCGCTTCATGAAGATGCACGATATACTATCATGACGGGCAGTGTTAGACATTTGAGGTGGATAGAAAGTAGCGCATGCGCTGATATTCGGAGAAATTTACGGAACTGAACATTGATGTAATTATTCTTAGCGAGGTGGTACGTGTATGCTCAATCAATAATTATTCGTCGAAAAAAGCTTGCATTATCTGTTATCGTGCAAGAGGATGTCGCGTGCAGCGAATACAATAAGAACGAATGTTTAAAAATGAGTCATAGTATACTTCGATTTAGTGAACTTCTAGCATGTTTCCATTATTTCTCTCTACTTTTTATATGTATTAAACAGAGAAATTATGAAAATAAAAATAATATGAATGGTGAGATAAAAGATAAATATTATGAATGGTGAGATATAAGAGAAAGTATTTAAATAATATAAATATATTTAAATATTGTTTGTAAAATAATTTAAAAAACAAACAGTTTATGAAAAAACAGATATAAAATTTTGATATTGAATTTTTAGATGATTAAAGGTATTGCTTGAAAATATACTTATTTTTTTGCCAAGTATGTCATCTACACGTTTTTAACTTACTACATTTTATGTAGACATTGTTTGCAATACATTCATATACGCTAAAGACGTTTTAATTATCTGGAACAACAAAGTGTTTTATTTATACGTGCATATATATTTATGGAAAAATATTTTAAAAAGTTGAACCATTAAATATAGATTGAATCACCAAAATAAATTAATATCAATTAATGAAATTAAATGAAAGAAATAAAATAATTTAATTTTTGAATAGCTAATTTTTACAATTTTATCATACAAAATATTAACATTTGATGTAGTTTATCAAATGTTTCTTAATATAATATTATTATAATGATGATGTATATGACTTACATCTCCAAACGTGGCAATAGACAAATCAAATAATTTTCCTGCTGTTATCTTGATCACGTTATTTGACCGTGCAATTATTAATATAAAACCACGCGCAGTTTTGTAATTCAACTTGTACCAATTGGTCATGTATGCCATTCGACCAACGTTCTTACACTAATAAATTAATTCGAATATTACTCAAAATCATTATTATGACTAACTGAGTATTAGCAGTAAAATATAAAAATATTAAGGAAAAATAAAAAATTTGACAAAGAAATAGATTATATAAATTTTTTGACTGTTCTGCATAAATTGTAAAAAGTATTATTTTGATCTTAAGACATTACCTGTTCGGTGATAATTTCCCCGACGTAGCAAAATATAAAAATATTAAAAGCCATTGATATGTATACCGTAATCAATGACATTAATTTTGCAGTGCTAAACGTACTCCAATTCTAATCAAATATATCATAAATCAAAATTTATATTAATTTTTATATAAGAAAAACGTAAGAAAAACGTTTAATATTTTCGGATTTTATAATTAACTAAAATTGTATCTATATATAATAGTAAATATGTATATGTATATATATATATATATATATATATATATATATATATATATATATGTTTATGTATATATGTATATATTTCTTTAAATATGATTTTAATGTACCTCTAATAAGATATTTTTTTTTTCAGATAATTAGCATACCATAACTAAATAGTACCCAATTAAACACATATTCAACGTGCATCCCATTAATTCCACGAAACAGGCTTTATACATAATGCTCTCTATACGTCCTATAAAACTGAAACACATCTATTTAGTTTTAACACGTCTGATTCGAGACGTGCATTATTTTGCCGACTTGCAAATCTATTACAAATATATATTTTTGCAGTAACAAGTTATATCTCATAATATTTTGAAAAACAATTTAACGTGTAACATAATCGAGATATCTTATTATTTTTTAATAAAAATTAATGTGCACATAAGATGCAGTGAAAGCACCACAGTTAATAAAGTACCACAGGACTCTTAAGTGATGTTTGACGATTGCAGTCAATCTTCGTTCAGCTAGATAGTTTTTCTTCCCATAATCCTTGTCGAATTCGTTAAACCACGCGGACAACATGTTCAGCTGACCACAGGCGTGCATTGCAAACACAATGGCGAGACTACAAATACACACTGTGGAGGAATTCGTTAGGTAGCTCGATATGAATTGCATACTAATCATGATTTCATTCGCCGGACTAAATCTTGCGTCGAGAAGCTTGCGATAGGCTGGACATGACAACGGATGTATCCTAGTGGTTACGTTATTGTTAATAAAGGTTACGGTTTTCATTGTTGTAAATATATTAAACAGAAGTGCACTGCCCTGCATAAATATCGCACAGACTGCGGTCATATAACGACCAATCTTGGCGTGTTTCATCATCACCTCAGTATCCTCGATTGTCTTCTCAACATGCCAATCCTTTTCCATATGTTTTATACATTCATGAATGGCTTTGCCGTGTGTAAGTAGTATCCAATAATTCAAGGAGCCTATTATTCGATGTATCAGCGGAAGGAGAGGACTCAATTTCGTCTGCATGTCCCTCGCCTCAAGAAATACATATAGGAGGCACGGTGTGATAATTATTGCCACTGCGGACGACAAAATGGGAACAAGTATTATCGAGGAGAACTTCTCCATTATGCTGGATGTGCGTGTTTGCGGCCAAGCGCCAATCGATATGAGGAACCATCGGCTCAATTGTAAACTGTAATCGTTGTTCTTTTTCGACTCATTGTTCGTTAGACGCTTGAGACCCGACATGATCGCTTTATGGAGCTGCACGGCATACTATCACGCCAGGCAGAAATACAAGTGCACTTGCTAGAAGTTTGAGGTGAATACAAAGCAACGCATGCGCTGATATTCAGAAAAGTTTAGTGCACGGTACATTTATGTAATTACTCTTAGGGAGATAGTACGTGTACGTACGATCAATAATTATTTCTTGAAATAAACTTGCGTTACTGGTCCTCTCCTGCGAGAGGATACGATATGCAACAAACATAATAAGAACGAATGTTTAGAAATAAATTTTAGTGCTTCGATTTAGTAAATTTCTAGCGAATTTCCATTACTCTTCTCGACCTTCTTGTGTGTATTAAACAGGACAATTATATAAGTTAAAGATATAATAAATGGTGAGATAAAAGGAAAAATATTTTATATTACTTAAATATTGTTTGTGAAATAATTTATAAAATAAATAAATTTCCAAACAAAAAATTATTTAAATATTGATATTGAAATTCTGGATGATTAAAGGTATCGTGATTTATTGAAAATAATGTTGATCGCAAACAAATTATACATATTGACAAAACTAGTTTTAATCATATTTATATTCTATCTGCAAAATATACTTATTTTCTTGTGAAAAATGTCATCTATATGTTTTCTAATTTATTACATTTCACATAGACAACGCTTTCAACAAATTTACATATGCTAAGGAAGTTTTAACAATCTGAAACAATAAGGTTATATTATCTCAATATATGATATAGAAAAATATTTTAAAATGTTAAAATTTGAAGTACTGCTTAAATCATTAAAGTAGATAAATCAACTAATCAAACTAATTGATTAAATAAAAATCAAATCACAGTCTAATTTTTAAGTATAGGATAATTAATTTTTATAGTCTTATTATATAAATTATTAACATTTGATGTAGTTTATCAAATGTTTCTTAATAGAATATTGTTATAATGAAAATGTGTATGACTTACGTCCCCAAACATGGTGATAGACAAATGAAATATCTTCCCCGCTGTTATTTTGATTATGTTATTTGACCGTGCAATTATTAATATAAAGCCACGCGCAGTTTTGTAATTCAATTTGTACCAATTGGACATGTATGCTATCCGACCGACTTTTGTACACTAATAAGTTAATCCATATATGATTTAAAATTATAATGACAATAAGGGGGTAAGTAGTAAGATATAAAAATGTTAAAGGAGACAAATAAGTCTGAATACAAATATCCGGCAAGAAACTATGTTATATAATTTTATATAACTATAATTTTATATACATATATTTTATATAACTATATTATGATTCTTCTTCTATACGATATAAATTATAAGAAATATTACTTTGTCATTGAGATGTTACCTGTTCTGTGATAATCTCCCCGATGTAACAAAATATAAAAATATTAAAAGCCATTGAAGCACATATCGTAGCAGTTGTGAACATTCTTGATTTAGTAAGTATACTCCAATTCTACCAAATAAAAATTTAAGTTTATTTTCGCGTAACAAAAATGTTCAATTATATTTTCAGAGGTAATTTTATAATTAAATAAAATATTATATATATGTATATATAGGGTATTTCACACTCTCCTCCGGGCATTTTGTGGGAACGTGGAACAGTTTGAGGTGAACATAAAAGTCCTATATAGTTTTGCAATATTCGCAATAATTATCGAGATATTAATTGTAGAAAATTTGTGAATGATCATGCAAAATATGGTAAATGAATTATAGTAACAACGACTGCCGTCGTGTACTTATACTTTAGGTCAAATTGAACAAAAAAGTCCTCTACCATTTTCCAAATAATCATATAGATTTTTAATTATTAATTAAAGAAGATTATTGCACGATTTTGCGTAATATTGCACTCATCTTGTTAAATTAATAATTAAAAATCTATGTGATTATTTGCAAAATGGTAGAAGACTTTTTTGTTCAATATGACCTAAAGTATAAATACACGACAGTAGTCGCTATTATAACTCATTTACCATATCCTGCACGATTACTCACAAATTTTCTACAATTAGTATCTCGATAATTATTGCGAATATCGCAAAACGGTATAGGACTTTTATGT